AGTGAATGTTACAACCTGCCCTGCTAAACTCATAGGTAAGACACAAAAGCTGGGTCTTATAAGAAGGCAGGAGAAGATCTTTCTCTTCCCTCTAGAAACAGTTGGCCCCTTCCCTTAAGGTGCATTTTCTCTCAAGTTTTCAGTATTGCTTTATTTGCAGTGATTAAAAGATAAAAAACACTTTGCAGACAGACAACATAAGCAACACATAGACATGAAATGCTCTAGACAGAGATGAGTATAAATCTGGCCTAATAACCATTTTTCCATGTAACAGTGATTTTTATGTTTTAGGGACTGAAGTAATAGCTATATTAATAGCTAACTCTCTTACCCTTTAAAAGATTCTTATATAGCTCTAACCACAAACAGCCTTTCTTAACGTTAACTTTATTCTCTGCCCATATTTGTTTTTTATGGGAAAAGGTGGTATTATGGTCAGGGGTAGATGTGTCAGGCAGTTCCTGGACAGGCTGGCTTTTACAGAATGGGTGTTTAACACCTTGGAGCCTAGGGGACTAAACTCAACTATGCAATGGAGTGTTGGAAAGGGAACTGTAAACAGTCTCTTCTACCCGATGCAGGGAGGAGCAGGAAAAGATTCTGGATCCTCTCTGCTACCTTGAGTGGACCTGGGGGATGAAGAACAAATCCTATACTCAGCTTCTTAAACCATGTTTGAGGGTTTTCTTCTGTCTCTGGGGTTGAATTCCGGGTGTTCCATGTCCTATAGGGTATGTAGCACAGCACAATTTACCATAAATAAATGGGAATTTAAAAGCAGCCATGTATGTAAGCAAGAAGACAGTTTCTTAACTATCTTGTGAAGAATATGAAGGTTTCACATACTTGGAATTCTGCTTAGCCACAAAGACTTCCTATGCTGGTAAGCTAGGTTTTCATGACCAATAAATTAGAAAAGCTGACCTTACACAAGTATTTCCTTGGCACATTTAAAGCTTTTTGAAAACGAAACTTGACAGCAGATCATTGGCTCAGGGAAGCACTTGGTTCAGAGCCAAGTTTCTGGAGTCAGAATAACATTGACGAGGAAAGCTCAGCTCTGGGCATGGAGGCGAGTGCCTCAAGTCTTCACTATGGCTTTGGTGAAGAGGCCACAGATTGATTTCTTGTGAAAGAAAAGCTGCTAACGTCAGGCCAATGCAAACCTGTCTGCCACTTTAGACAGATGATTTTGGCACCGTGTGAAGGGTATGGCTCTCACATGCCCAGTTCCTCTACTGAACCCCTCTAAAGGCGGGAGCCCTCGGAGGTGGCAATACACTGTCCTAGTGTCTCTTACAACTTTTGTTTGTTTAAATCAGTGCCTACTAAGGATAGAAGAAGAGACCCTCCTGGTTATGCTGCATAACAACCTACATTTCTCAGATAATACCTTGTGTGCTTTGTGCTGCAGAGCTAACCACAGGCTCTGTTTCTGCACATTTTAATAGTCTTCTCTGGAATCCTGTTAGCCCAGCCTTTAGAGAACCTGAAAAACATTTCACCTTTCAAAAAACATTTTCCACGGTAACACTGTCTACATTATAACCACAGAATGGGTTTTTAAAGAAAGACCATTGAAATATAGTGGCACAGTACAGACAATAAAACTTAGTATCTGGGGGAATCAGACTTTTGAATAAGTGGAGGCTGCAGCTATGTTTCAGGTTTTTGTATATTAGTATCCTATCTCCACAATGGTAACATTTACTTGGCTGCTCTTTTTTTTTTACTAAGGTGAGGCTGACTGGCTGTTACCTCTCTGGCACCATCATTGAACTGTGCTTCTGAGACTCATCCTGAATGTCAGATAGTAACTTGTCTTTCATTTTTACTTAAATTTCTAGCATACGTTTTACTAACTCACTACCTTCAGCAGTGACAAAGGTTCCCTTTGGCTTAGCTTGTTAATTTTGACTTGCCTTCTCCTGCCACAGAAATAGCTTTTAGGACTTGACCATTCTGATGTTGAGGGAATAGTTACTTCTGCTGGGATGGCAGATCATGTTGCAGCCAAGAGCATAATTGGGGCTCAGCTCCGCAAGAATCGAGTGGGAGTGGTAGGAAAGAGCTGTCATCTCTGTGGACGATGAGTCTTTTAGGGGAGTTAAGACCAAGCAGAATCTTCCACAAGCTGATTATGAGTAAATGGTGATTACTTCACTGCCACCACCCCGGACAAGGAGGACTCGCTCTAATCCCTCGGTGAGTACTTCTAGGAATTCCATGTCTTCAGAAGTTGTCAAGGAAACGGGCAGATGAATAGTACACTTTATAACCTGGCATCAGTAATCTAAGTTTGTTTGATCACTGGACTGAAAACTCAGCACACTTCTCTTAATAATTATATACTCAGAATAGAAAAACCCTGACCTTTGGATTCAACATCCATCTATCCACCCACCCATTTCAACAGTGCTATGCATTAAAACTAGGGCCTTGTAGATGCGAGGCATGCTCTGATTTTAATTTTTTGAAATTTGGAAATAGGGTCTCACTAAATTGCCCAGGCTGGTCTTGATTTCTCTCTGGCACTCAGACAGACCTTCCTCACTTTTCCCAAGTAGCTGAGATTCCAGGCTTGCACCACCAAACCTGAAATTGGATTCAGTTTTAAACCTATGAAATGATCCTTGGATTTAGGCTCTTTGCATATTTAATATAAGATATTCTCATTTGTTTCCTCCCTCCTTACCTTCAAGTCCTGGGAACTAAACCAAGAGTCTAATGTGTGTTAGGCAAATATTCTACCACTGAGTGATAGCCCCAGGCCTTACTTGTTATTTTCTAAATGTGATTTAAAACTGGGTAAACAGTGAGATGGCTTATCTATTGAAGGAATTTGTACAAGCCTGACAATCTGAGTTCAATTCTTTGGAATGAGTCAGGAGAACACACACATAAATACAAACAAATACTCTTGAGAGAGACTCACTGTGTAACACTAGCTGGCCTGAAACGCAGTACATAGACTTAAAGTGGCCTTCAACTCATTGTGATCTGCCTGCCTCTGCCTCCTGAATGCTGGGATAAAGGGTGAGTCACATTGCCTGGCATAAATACAAAGTTTCAAGTGACTGGAGAGATGTCTCAGTGGTTAAGAGCACTTGATGCTCTTGCAGAGGACCCAGGTATGAGTTCCCAGCATGCATATAGTGGTTCATGACCATCTGTAACTCAGGTCCAGGAAATCCAACACCCTTTTCAGACTTCCATGAGCACCAACCAAACATGCACAAGCACACAAGCAGGCATGTGTGGGAGTCCACAGAGGTTTTCTAGTGAGATTGGAGCTTGCTTTACACAGCAGGGCTGCATTAGGGGGATGCCTGGACCACGTACCTGCACCAGTTGTTAGGGACGGTCTACACTTGGCTGTTTTTTTTGGGGGGGGGTGTCTTTTGCCTTACCCCTTGGCATTCCTTTAAAAAACCCTTTAGTAGAGACAGAAGGGGCTGGTGGATTAGGATCCAGGCCCTCCCGAACTATCCTATGTTTTCTTAATAGTTTTGGTTGTGAGCCTAGCCTTTAACGGCTGAGCCATCTCTCCAGTCCTATCCTATTTTTTCTGTCTCTCTGTCTACTTCTGTCTACAAATTTATCACTTCTCCTTCCTCAAGAGTACCCTGGGGGAAAAAGGGAGCAGATCTCCCTCAACAGACACATGAAAAAAGGGCTTCAACTGTGTGTGTGTGTGGGGGGGGGGGCGGTAGGTAAAGACACGTGCTGTGCAAGCCTGATGACCTGTGTTTGACTCTCAAAGGTTGCTCTCTGACCTTTACATGCTGTGGTGTATGTGTATATTCATGTGCCTGTGTACATGTGTATGCATACACAATTAAAAATGAAAACTAGAATTGACAATATGTTATTCTTTTGACAAAAAATGCCAAAAAAAAAAAAGGGCTAAAAAAATACTTCAAAAGATCTCTAGAGAGAACCCACAGAATTTCTAAATGAAGCTGCATGAGTCAGTTTTCATGCCATTTTTTTTTTTTTTCATTAAGCCATCCCCCTTTTCCTCAATGGTGCTTCTAAGAATGGGTCAGTCTGTGTCACTGCAGGGCTGGAGGGTTCCCATAAACAACCCTGGGTGAAGAAGAGTCCTTATGCCTTTTTCTCACTTCTGTTATGAAGTCCCATCTCAAGTGCTTCTCCCCTAACTCCATCCAAAAGATGGCTTTGCAGAGGGTCCTGAAAGGAGAATGGATGTGGGTTCTGTTCTAGGTTTATTGCTGAAAATTAGGCATCATGGTATACACGGGATTCGGAAAGAACACAGTAACTCCCTGCCCCAGCTTCCCGAAAGGAAATCAGTTAGTCTCACAACTTTAGAAGCATCCCTTCCTATGGCATTAAGCTCAGGGAAAGTGGAAAACAGACTGACTTTAGCCACTGACTGTCTATTAACAGGCTATAAGAAGATTTTTTTTTCCTATTGGCAGCTTCACTCTTGGAAAGGATACAGTTTTCATCACCTTCAGGGTTTCGGGGTGGTCCTGGCATATTCAACAAAACCAGTTTTGCTTCGTGGGACTTGTTAACTATGACTTCATTAAGCTTCACTGCTGTATGCATCCGTCTCACATTGGAGTGGTCCCTGAGTGGGGAAGAAATAAGGTAGTTAAGGCAAACAGAAAACCAGTTGTAAGCACTCTTTGTTTTGATGCCTAGAGCCTTTTCACTTGACTATGGACAATGTGATCATTTCTTTGCTGTATTAACATCTCATCTCTAGTTTTCTTAAATCTTAAAAAATTTTTTTTAAGATTTCATTGTGTGTATGTATGTGTGTGTGTAGGAAGGCAGCTTTTTGGGAGTGGTTTCCTTCCACCAACTTTTGGGACCTAAGGCTTGGCAACAAGCTATTCTCTCACTAGCATGGT